ACTAATGGTGACATCTGAAAGTTAAAGGAGACAATTTGATCAGGTTTCTCTGTCAACTATTGCTCTAACGGAAACGGAATAATTTAGCTATTAATAAACCAGACCCCACACACTACAAAAACAACATATAAAACAGCCCATTAATAATTTGACATCTATCCCAAAATGTTCTTTACTAGAGGCCAATATTATTGGGTGATATTAACGCATCCCAGATATATATATATATATATTAAAAAAAAGGCAAATATCTTTGTGGTTATTTAAAAATAGTGTCACCATTACATAGCTTGTCCACCAGAGAGCACTGACAAATTTATTTTTCAATTGTGAATTGTCCCACTCAGTTCACTCAGTCAGTTATTTAATAACCAATTTTAAGGGATGAAAACATGTTTTTGTGTTATTTGTTAAAACTGTATTTATCAGCCAATGTATTGTTATTAATATATAGTTGTTTGTTACAAACTCTTAAATATCTAGATTGGCATTTATATGATATTTATATTATTATGTAAAATCTCATGCTTGCGTTGTGCTCTTTACCTCTCTCACAGGGAGACAATGCTGCAAGCCTTAAGGTTCGTCATCCAGGGGGCCGGGTCAAAGGTGGACCCAGCCATCCGCAAGAACATCACCACCACATTACTTGGCATGCTGGGACATGATGAGGTATGACAGGAGGAGCAGATGTAGAGAAGATTCTTTTTTATTTTTTATCTGTAACAACACGCCTGTTTTTCCACCCCGGGGCCTGTAAAAGCTGCTGAATACATGAAGTGATAACATATGAAACACAAAAGTATAAACATATGAGTACTTAGAATTTGACAGACAGTTGTTCTGGGGTGTAGTTTCATCTGTGATCACAGTAGGAAATGGAAGTCAGGCAGAGAGGATGTGGTTTTCTAAAAATGTGGTTTTGAGCCTCTGTCAGTATGACAATAAATGACACTCAAGCTGTCTGTGTCTGTCTGTCTGTGTCTGTGTGCACGCAGGATGCGACGCGTATGGCGTCAGCCGGCTGTGTCGGTGAGCTGTGTGCCTTCCTGTCAGAAGAGGAGCTGAAGAGCGTGTTACTTCAGCACATCTTAGGTTGGTATTCCTATGCCAAGTTATCGTCACATCACGTCTCACACTATGTGCATAATGTTGGGCTTTCTTTTTTCATTTTCCCCTAATTGCTGTTTATTACAACAACTGACTTGGTGTACAGACTGTAATAATAATAGTGATTTAGTAAATGTGTGTTTTGCTTGGTTTGAGCACAAATAGTATTTTTCATGTGGCTTTTATAAATGTGTTTACAGTTAGATTTTTGTATTTGTTTCATAAAAGTTTGACTTTGCCCTGTGTGTTTCTGCGGCTCCCTGTGCATCAGCAGAACAGTGAGAGCATGAGCTAATAGATGTTGTTCCTCCCTGTAGCCGATATGTCCGGTGTTGATTGGATGGTGCGTCATGGCCGTAGCTTGGCCATGGCCATAGCCATCAAGTCTGCTCCTGAGAAGCTGTGTGGGAAGGAATACTGTGATACTGTGACAGAGACCGTTTTGACCAACGCCACTGCTGACAGGGTGAGAAGAAAGTTTGTGTGACACTTTAACAAAATATTCCTCATGTCAGTCATGAACTGACTGCAATGAATAGTCTGTATAAGTCACCTTTTAAAGAAATGATTTGATATTCTAAGAACTACCTTATTTTCTGTAACAATTTCTTGGCTTAATGTGATCAAACCAACGAGATATAACATGTTAATTAGTGAGATTTACATGTTTTTCTTACCTTCTGACAGAGCCAGCTAGCTGTTTCCAGTCTTTATGCTAAGCTAAGCTAACTGTCTCCTGGCTGTAGCTTAATTTTCACCATACAGACGAGAGAGTGGTGTCGATCACACCGACATTCAGAAAGCCAGTGCTTCAGATTGTAGTAAATGGCCACTGGTTTCTTTCTAAAATACAACTTCGAATGTAAAAAGCATACCGTATATAACATTATTAGAATAGGTAACAGTCCTGTGTCCACCAACATTGTATGTTAATCCCTGTTGCTCTCATGTGCGTCAGTACTTACTGTGATTATGTTCTTTTTCCAGATTCCCATTGCCACCAGTGGGATCAGAGCGATGGGATACCTGATGAGGCATCATCTCAGAACAGAGGGAGGCAGTAGTGTTTCCCAGCGCATCATCACACAGTTTGTCAAGGTAAAGCAGGAACTGTTTCATTCAACAGGCTATTTACTTCCCTTTGTGCAAATTCTACAGTGTTGGCAACCAATTTGAGTTCTACTTACGTTGGGGTGATATTTATTCATTTTCTATAAACGTTTATTCCTTTTTATGGTCACAGGTGAGCTGGTGCCTTCCTTGCACACGTTCTCCTGGTGGGAAATAAATAAATAAAAGCTGCACCAATGATAATTGTTTTAATAAAAAAAGACTCGAGTGACTGTAATGTGAAATGTATCGCTACTAGTGACAAACCAATTTACCATTTTTACCTGACTCTGCAGTTCCCCTCAGGTCTTTGGAGTGTTTTTCTTTCTGCATATTGTTTCGGTTTATGGCCCCGAATGTTACTGTTCTCGTGTACTTTCATTGCTCTTCTTAGTGTCATTTTCAGCAGCAGACAGCTGTTCAGACAGACAAAGTTAGTAACTAGCTGGTGAACATACGGGTGAATTTAGCAGCTAAAGAGACAGATATTTCCTTCAGAATCTGATGGAGACTAAAACTGAGTCAAGCCAATTTTATTTAGATAGACCAGTGTCACAAAACTGGCTTTTCAATCTGTACAGCATACAACAATCAATCCTTAGGCCCTCGGTTCAATTAAGAAGAAAAGAAAACCTCAGAAAGAGCAACAGAGGAGGGATTCCTCTCCCAAGATGGACAGACATGCACGAAATGTCACGTGTTCAGAGCAGAAAGGAGAGGGAATATTGTGATTAATCAGGTTGCCAGAAACACGTTCACCCCAAAAACTAAATAGGGTGATAACCAAGCCCCAAGGAAGAGCGCCTAGCTTTGAAGCAAATTTCACATAGTGGCCAAACAGTGGAAACACAACTTCCTGGGCTTTTTTCCAGAGACTTACATTGGGAAAGAGATGTTTGTAAATAACTGGATCATTTGTTTTGGAGGTAAATTAACTTCCCAGTACAAACACTTAAAAACGTAATATTCTTAAACACTTGATATTTGCTAAATCATTAGGTCCTAATCCCGCTGCCCCCTGGTGGCCACAGAAATATCTAATAATGCTGCTTTAAAAAAATGTTTTTCATTTATGCCTCATGGTATTAATGAGAAACTGTTTATTTGTTGCTTGATGTTACTCTATTACCAGGGTAGTATTTGTAATGTATAAGTAGCAGGAAGTAATACCAAGTAGCTGTAAATGCGTAGATACACGTGGAAACAACAGAGTATGTATAGAAAGATGAATAATGTGACGAGTACCTCCTTCAACAGTCTGTTTTTATCTGTGTTACCACGCAGTGTCTTCAGAACCAGTCCAGTGACATCAGACTGGTGTCAGAGCGGGTGCTGTGGTGGGTGTTCAAAGAGCCGGCTACACCCTCCATGGAGGCCAGTCTCGTCAAGCCCCTACTGAAGAGTCTGCTGGACAACACCAAGGACAAGAACACCAGCGTGAGAGCTCAGAGCGAATACACCATCGTCAACCTGCTGCGACTCCGACAGGGAGAGGAAACCATGCAGGTCAGACTACAGGCCGTCTATCATTTACAGATGTAGATAATGTATAAAGGCAAAAAAATGTTTTTCTAATTTATACTTTTTGCTCTTTCTACATTTCAGAGTATTACCGCCATTCTGGACTCTGCAAGTAACGACCTGCTGTCAGACTGTCACCGTCGGTCCTTGAAGAAAATCATCAGCCTGCCGGACTCCAATGAAGAGATAGACGACACCATCCTGACGTGATGGAGCAGGACTGGGCTGTGAAACGATCTCTGCAGATCCCCACTGTACAACCCAACACACACTCACCACACAGGCCCATGTTGCTTTTCATGAACCAAGGCTGAGTTGGGTGGTGTTTCCCAACAAATTCTTGTTTTTTTTCTCCTTTTCTCTTTTGTCATTGTTTTAGCGGCTTTTACGCCCAATTTATAACATTTTTTTTAATTTTATCTAATAATGTGCAGGTTATCCTCCTGTACTGAACTACATTAGGAAGACACGAAGCCAATTCTGTTTTGATGTTTCAATGTTTTCCTACTTATTTTACCAAAAGGATTTCAAGCATTTAAGATGCTGCTGTAATGAAACACCCCTGTCTTTAACTTTTATTTGGACTTTGTGTGTGAGAGTTGTTTGGGGGATAAGCAACCTCTCATAAGAACAAAAAACATTCTTATGTCAGTGATACGGTTGTAAAAAAGCAATTCAAAATAAAAAGATCTTGATTTCATTATGTAGTGTGAAATATTGGGAAACAGTTACCTTCAGGGTGGGGTCAGGGGTCACAGACTTTCATCACGCCTTAAAGTCACTCCACATATTTCTCTGCACTACCTACTGACATTTAAGATTATATAAAGTGTCAGTACATGTGACGATTATGCAGACAAACCACGTGTGTGTGTATATATATATATATGTATATATATATATATATATGTATATGTATGTATGTATATGTATGTATATGTATGTATATGTATATGTATGTATATGTATATGTATATATATGTATATATGTATATGTATATGTATGTATATATGTATGTATATATATATGTATATGTATGTATATATATATGTATATGTATGTATAT